GACCCAACGTCAAATTTAAATCTCCCGTTCTAAACCCGAAACTCTGAAGCTGAAAGAGTATCTGAATTAGACTAAGCGCGCATAAATCTATGAGCGCTCGATACATTCCTTTGTTAATTTTTGTACTTTGCGTTCACGGTTACGTTGTGAAAAACATCGTTAGCTTAACCTCTCCACTATTAGTTATAACGTGGTGCGTGTTTTAGAAAGTAAAGGACAGAAGAAATAAAACAAACGCACCCCATGCAGACAGATCGCCTAAAATCACATTGTCATTTCAATCACCGTTATTATTTTTCGAACGAGTTACCTTGAAATATCAAGACGGCATGCTATTCTCATACTTATAGAACTTAACACGATAGTCATTCATCATTTATTAAGCAGGAAAAAATTAATTTGCATCATGGGTGACAAAATGTTTCTAATTTCCTGGTGAATACGAATGTAAGTTGACCCTCATTTATTCCCATTTCGCCCCTACCCAATAACGCAGATGCGAGTAGGTAGTTTCCAGATTCATGTCCAGGTGGCTCGTTCGGGTCAGATAGCATGCCGGGTATTCACCTTTCCACAAAGTAAAGAAAATCGATAATTTCCAGCGCGCTGATTGGTTGTATGCAAATGAGTCAAATCAATGACGTCAATGACTGAAAGTTTTGAAGAATTAATACAGCCAGCATAGGAATATTTTGAATTAACTGCAATAAAAAGGATTCTATTTGCCCAATGCACCAATTATTTTTAATCAAACATGAAATATTGATGAGGCACTTTCATTCCGAATCTTATGTAATTTAATTTAATTTATTAAGAATTCTAAGATCAGCCTCACATACCCGGGCTAACATGGCTCGTGCGATGTCAATAATGATCAGCAATGTCAACATATCATCAATAAACATTATATGATATACGCTCTTTGAAATCTTCCCAGTGATCATTATTCAAAATCGATCATCAATCATATAACTAATTTATCCTATGAAAAGTGAGGTTTCACAAGTGAAGTTTTCAGGACACCCTGTATGTCCAGGTTTGTTTTCCCATCCTCATTATTTTTGAGAAATCCATCATCATTTTGGTTAAGAAAAGTTCTACGGTCTGCTGGATCTATTTTGACAGTTTTGATTTAGCAAGATATTTTAACAAATTGACTGTTTCTACACTGAATAAAAAACATTTTCCCGGGAATATTTTTATCTGGAGATACGCAGCGGGAAATATATATGCCAGCTACGTCTTAATACTTTGTAACGTTCGCGTAATGACTGTAACACCCCAGTCACATTTGTCGCACGGCGGCCGCAAGTCGACCGCAGATCAATTAAATCGGTGAATTTCTGCGGCGAGCGTAGAAAAACTATGGTCGCCTTGCGGCCTCCGTACGGCGTATGCAGATTTTTACAGGCCGCAGGGAAGGCGTAGAAATTATAACTCAGAGTTATAATAGTTGTTCATTTCCGAGGTCCCCGTAGAAATCAACTGGCTCAACAAGATTGAATCATTATTTGTCAATGTTTCACGATCACTTTTCATTTTTATATTACATCCTAGCACCATGAATAACATTTATAAATTGTCCCAATGTAAATGAAATGAAAAAAGTATTATTTATCAACAGAAATTTAAAATTCACTGTGCGGCTGCCGTTGGAAATGTGACTGCAAAAGTATGAGAGCGCAGAAATTCCACGGCGAGCGTAGAAATGTTACTGGCCGCAGAAATGATAGATCGCAAGGTCGCCGTAGGAAATGTGACTGGGGTGTAAACGACAATGGAGAAAACACAGACAATCGGGATATATTTAATGGTATGAAAAAGGGAAGGAGCATCCACTTAATCGCTCAAAAATTCGAGAAAATAAATATAGGAATATTTGAGAGAACAGGAAAATCCGCCCACGGCCAAGAAAACAAAACTTGACATGAATATTCTAAAACATTTCCTCGATTGAACAATGTGAACCAGATGACCAAGATTGGCATGGGATAAACATATTATCCTATAGACGGTTCAGGATATTGGGATAATCCCTTAGCCAATATAATATATTTTCCCTTGGGACCTGCGACCCTCGGACAGATCTATTATATTTGCCTCGGGATAATCCCAATATCCTGAACCTCATATAGGATAATCTCTATATATGTCACGCTCCTCCAAGATATCAATTCTATATCCCTATGCCTTCAAGTATAATATTTTCAAGATTCGATCTGATATGACTTGCAGAAATAAATAGGAAGTAATCGTTTAGTTGATTGAATTATGGAAGTAGTGAAGTAGTGAAGTCAATGATTTAATGAATAAAAGCAAATGTTTTTAATTTGAACAGGTCATTCATCAAATGACACTGAAGATTAACTTAAAATAGATTGTCTATCTATATATTTTTATGCATGAGAGACATGTTATAATGTTGGTGAACTTATGATTATTATTATTTATTTATTTTTATTATTCAAGTTTAAGATTTTACAGATTTACATTGTAAGGTTACATGATAATACAGTTACAGTTAATATAAATATAATTAGGGTCGCTCATTTTTTATAAGAATGTATATAAGGGGGGTTACAGGGGAGGGGAGAGGCTATACTACTAGGTCTAAGTATAGTGGGTCAAAACATCAAAATGTGAGAGTTTGATTTATATATTTAGGTCTTTTTTACCCCCTTTCTGGCTCTGTATGTATGTATTTTTCGGAGTATTTGGTTTCCAGCTCAGAAAGGGGGGTTATACATAATGTTCTATCATTGAATTTATAACATTCCATTTTTTGTCATGCAATTCTTCTTGTCCATGTGTTTTTGCAATATATTTGTCAGTCCTTTTTTCTCTTATTAAGTATCTTTGAAAAGCATTTATGGTAGGTGCTTTTTCTTCCAATTTATTAATGTACATGAATCTTTTTATGAGTAAGGTAGCTAGGTTTTGGCTGATAAACAGTTTTGGAGATCCTAACATAAAATCTTGGTCATCAGGTACACGTATCTCTTCGTTCAGGATTCTGTAACATTGTTGTTTGAAATCTTCCATCACTTGGCATTTCAGGAAGCCGTGTTCTATATCGTCTATTTGGTTGCTATTGCACAGTACGCATGTTTGGGTTTTTACTTTTTTCATTTTGAAAAGTGTTTTCCTGAAGTATATTGCCCTATTTAGTATCCTATACTGAAAATACTTCATTCTCGTATCTTTTGTCAGTATGTTTATTAGATTATATATTTTCTTCCATTCTAAGTATTTTTGGAAGTAGTCTCCCCATTTAGTTTGACATGTAGGAGTATTTTGCTTATACTTTTTGCTGAGCATTTGGTACGTCTTCTTATTATCCCATGTTTTTATTCTCTCTATATTGTCTTGGTCATCTTGTAAGTTGATATTTGTCATTATGGTTTTCCACCTTGGTGATATGCATCTCATAACAGTGTGGTAGTTGAGAAAGGTCTGGTTTTGTAAATTATATTGATTTCTTAGTTGATCATAACTTTTCAAGTGACCATTCAGGTATAAGCGTTTAATTCTTGTTATACCTTTCCTTTCCCATTCTTTATTTTGAAGCGGGTTTTTGTTTTGCTTTATACAGTCATTGTTCCATATGATTTCATTGGAGGGGTTGTCAATATCCTGTTCTTTTATGTATTTTACCTCGTGCCATATTCTAAGAACTTCATCCAAGCTTTTCAAATTTTTCATTTTTTGGAGTTGACTGTTCGGCGACCAAGCCCAGAATGACTTCTCTATTCATAAAACTCACTCACTAAACAAGGCCTAACACACAAAAATCTTTGCTCACCTCGAATAGCATGCTACATTACCCAATCATGATTCATGCCTTTTCATCACTTCACTGCCTATATATAGAAAGTATTTAATATATTCTTAGATCACTTCGCTCTAACGAATATAAATTTTCTGTATCTAATAGTTATGCAAATTAAAATATGTCAGGTAAAAGAAATGTTATCTGTCCAATACAAGAAAAGATAATTCACTTTTGTGATTTTGTAACATGGGGTCTATGGGGAACAAGAAGTCACATTTTCAAAAAAAAAAGTTTCAAAGTTGATAGACAATTTTCGAAACCATACTTCTAGATGTACTTTTACATGCATATTCCAAATATGACATCGCTTTGACTGAATTTTGAATGACGTAAATCAAGACTATTTCTACTCGCATCTAGTCCATTGGCCCTTGTTCCATTTCGCCCCTCTTTCATTCATATTTCGCCCCTTCCCAAAATGGGAAATGGCGAAATGGGAAGGGGCCAATTGGGAAGGGGCAAAATGGGAATAAATGAGGGACGAAATGGGAAGGGCCGAAATGGGAAAGGGGCGAAATGGGAAAGGGGCAAAATGGGACTGAATGAGGGCAAAATTGGAAGGGCCGAAATGGGAAAGGGGTGAAATGGGAAGGGGCGAATTGGAGAAGGGGCCGCGAAATGGAGAAGGGGCGACATGGGAAGGCGCGAAATGGGATGGGGCGATAAGGAAAAGGGGCGATATGGGAAGGCGGCAACACGGGAAAGGGGTGAAATGGCAAAGGGGCAAAATGGGAAAGGGGGGAAATGGGAAAGGGGCCAATTGGGAAGGGGTGAAATGGGAATAAATGAGGGGCAAAATGGGAAGGGTCGGACTGGGAATAAACCGGAAAAATCATTTAGTTGAATTTGTATGTAAACATATTACACTTTGGCTAGCGAGCAGCCATTTTGAAAAATGATAGTCATTTTTATGTGTGTTATTTTACGATTTTTGCTACAACTGAAAAGTAGTATGGGTTCATGTACTCCTCTTTATAAAATCTGAGGTACTAGATATAGTAGAGTTATTTGTGAATGATTTATTGAAAAACTACTCGTCAATATTTGAGACCGAATAAAATGTTAATTTTTCGTAAAAGGACCAACATTAACTGAAAGTTTTAAAAACATTTTATGAACAGGTCGGCCATTGATTGTCTAGAATTCACTATCAATTTGGAGAACTTATTTATTCGTTGCTATACACTGCATCGACGGTTTCATCAAACTCATCCGGTATAGCCCACGTAAACCATCCACATGATGTCGGATTGTCGCCCAAGTAGGTGTACGATCGTATTGGCGTTTCCTGGATGTAGTACGATATGTTTGTCCTGAATATAACTGGTTCATCCTCAACCGTCCAAGCAAGCTCAAACCCACTGCCAAACATGTATGTTCCTTTCCAGTCTCTGGTTTCGTAAGTTTTGCTATAACAAATTTAACAGAATTTATTTACGGGATTGTGTTAAAACGGAAGTGTAATGATATGATGAAAACAGTGAAATATTTCATATTTTTGTCAAACATTCACAAAACCCCTTCGAATACGGTGTTGGTTAACGATTTTTTTCTTCGTGAAAGGTGGCTGATATCTACGAATGCAGACCAGTCGTTTTCAGTAGAGCTTAAGAACCTGACTTTTTATGTGTATTTGATATGAGTACATAAAATGATTACTGGGAATAACTGACTAATTTGTCATATTATTTTTTTGGCACGTTCTGGTGGGAGTGAGAATGTCCGAACCTTCCATTCATCCATTCGTATTCCCATTCAAGCGTTCCCGAGGTGAAGACTGCCTGCGAGAGATGAGGTAGTCTCACTATCTTGTCATATTGAAATTCAAGATGCACTCTCCTTGCATCAATAAAGCATGTCTGACCACTTGCTAAGTATCCTTTGTATACCAATCCAGGGGCAAAAAGTGAGTCATCTGGAAATGTTGGATTTGATCGGGAGTAAGTAACAGATTTTGTTAAAACACACATTTATTTCATTTTCTTAAATAAACTTTAAATTTTAACGTTCCTTGAGATTTTTAACAATTTATTAAAATATGTCTCACTGTATATTGCCTTATCTGGGTCTCCCTTAATTTATTTAATGGTCTAAACTGTTTGGTTAAACCAATCGAAAACTTTCTAGTTCCCGGAAAAGACCCGCAGTGGAAACCTTTGGGTAGACGTTGTCATTACCGGATGCCCAAACGTGGCAGGAACACGTACATAGATACTCGAGTGATGTTGATTGGACATCAGTGTGCAGAGAAATCGTTATTTTACTAACTGAGTGGCTTCACATTATGTAACTGTATTTATGGAGCAAAATGATAATAAATGATAATAAAATGATAAGGTTGTAATGCTTCCTCAATAAATTCAGGGGGGTACACGAATATCAGAGTATATTCTGTTACTCTTTTGAGACTCACCACAAACATCGCCCCATTCATCGCTTCCATCTGCGCAATCGACGTGACCATCGCAAACCTAAATCATATACGTACAGCACATATCAAATCATTTCCATACGCTAACCACAGAGGTACAGAGTCGTTCCCTGTTCCAGATCGTGAACGACTACCTTGGGGTACTTAGCTTGTATTTGCGAATGCATAATAGCGGCTAGCGGCTACCTGATTAACGTACTAGTTTATGGGCAACTCGTTTAAAGAGAGAATCAGAGATAGCGAGCAGCCTAACAAAAAATTGTTTCAATTTTAAAATATTTCTGGCTTATGTCATTCCTTTTTTTATCTATTATCTAAAAATCCCCAAAGTGCACAATTTATTCCAGGAAAACTAAAGATTTTTGCAGTAATGTTGTATTTTTCTTATAAGAATGGTTACCATTCTTATTATTTGGGAGAATTTAAACATTTTTCACCCATTTTTGCACCTTGAATCCATTATAACTTCACCAATTTATAATATATCGAAGATCTTTTGGGAGATATTGTATTTGAGATTGTAAGGAATAGAGTGGTAGGTCAATTGGACATGTTGCTTGTTATTTTGTCACCCCCATAGATCTGATTCTGCCTTTAAATATGAATAGTACCTGCCGCTATTTAATTCATATTGAAATGAGTTGGTCATAAAATAAAATGTTAATCCGGTAGCCGGTAGCCGTCATTTGCATTCGCGACTACAAGCTTAGTTTTAGCATGTTTAATGTATGTTTTCGATTCGATGGCATTATATGTGTCAAGCAATGATAAATCAATTATATTGAATCATTGTTCCCGTTATACTACAGTAGTATAACTATACTTAATTTTTCTTTGGTTAAATATATTTATAAACTTAAAGGCAATTAAATTAATGATGTACCAGCATTTCATGTATGCATTCGCCAGACTCTCGACAGCGAAGAAGATTCCTTCCTTTGTCGCATTTATTTGCTAAAATTAACGTTAATCAATTTTTTAAAATCAATTTTTTGAAATCGAGTACAAATTCAGTACATAATCCTTATATATATTGAAAATGGTCTTCAAGAGATGGCCCCCATCTTAGTACAATTGTCCGGATCAGTATAAAAATAAAAGGAAATAGTTTTAATTAGGTTCATGGAAGAACAATGTAAAAATAACATACTCATCTTGTACACGATCTCCGTATTGGTCTTTGCATATTTACTATACATCATCAGCCGTTCAAAATTCACTTCACGTGCCTGTGAGATTTTCTTTAACTTGTCTTCCGCCCTGAAGAATATATTCTTAATGGTCAATCCATTTCGGTTTTCTAGTGTGTGTTTGCCAATCGGGTATATGTCTAATAATCAACGTTGTATCCTGCAGTTGATATTGCGGCAGATATTCTGAGAATACTAGACTACATTTACAGTCGACTATACAATATAATAACAATGTAAAGTCACGTATTAATCTGAACTTCACGATCATGCACCGTACGTGTTGCGTTAAAACACAAATATAAAGGCACATTGGAGTATGAACTTCACCCATCTCTCCATATTTCCTCGCACGAACACTAGTCTCATATATTTGTTCAACTCACAAAGTACCCAATTTGTATGAATAAAAATGTTTCAATTTTAATTCAGGCCCGATGTCCAATATTTCACTATATTGCTCGCAGAAATGACGTTATTAGTATTATTACCACCGTTAACGACCAGGACTGAAACAGCAAGAAAATCTTACGCATTGAACGATATCTAATTTCCCGGGGAAAATAGAATATATTCTAGACCGGTCCATATGGACCACCACTATGGCGTCACACATTTCTCAGGTCGATATAATAAAATGAACGCCTTCTAAACTAGCACTAAAACCCCTAGAACTGTAATAATATTGAATCATTGTTCCCGTTATACTTCAGTAGTATTATACTTAATTTTTCTTTGGTAAAATAGATTAAATATAAGTTTAACAAAGGCAATTAAGATTAATGATTAATGTCAGGCAAAGATAAATTGATATTGAATCATTGTTCCCGTTATACTACAGCAGTATTACTATACTAAATTTTTCTTTGGTAAAATATATTTATAAGCTCAAAGGCAATTAAAATTAATGATCTACCAGCAGATCATGTATGCATTCGCCAGACTCTAGACAGCGAGATGATTCCTTCCTTTGTCTCATTGATTTGCTAAAATTAATGTTAATCAATTTTTTTAAATCAATTTTTTAAAATCGAGTACAAATTCAGTACATAATCCTTATATATTGAAAATAGTCTTCACGGGATGGCCCCCATCTTAGTACAATTGTCCGGATCAGTATAAAAATAAAAGGAAATAGTTTTAATTAGGTTCATGGGAGAACAATGTAAAGTAACATACTCATCTTGTACACAATCTCCGTATTGATCTTTGCATATTTACTATACATCATCAGCCGTTCAAAATTCACCTCACGTGCCTGTGAGATTTTCTTAAACTTGTCTTCCGCCCTGAAGAATATATTCTTAATGGTCGAATCATTTCGGTTTTCTAATGTGTTTTGCCAATTGGGTATATGTCTAATAATCAACGTTGCATCCTGCAGTTGATATTGCGTCAGATAGTCTGAGAATACTAGACTATATTTACAGTCGACTATACTATATAATATCAATTATTCCAAAGTCACGTATTAATCTGAACTTAAAGATCATGCATCGTGTTGCGTTAAAACACGAATATAAAGGCACATTGGAGTATGGACTTCACCCATCTCTCCATGCTTTCTCGCACGAACACAAGTCTCATATATTTATTCAACTCACAAAGTACCCAATTTGTATGAATAAAAATGTTTCAATTTTAATTCAGTGACATCTGAAATTTCTGACTTTTTACAGCAACCTAAAATGAAAACATAAGCCTCTGAAGTCACACCTGCTCTATGGCGTGTGCACGGCCGCCGTATATTCACAAAATCGATATAGAAAATCTACATCACACTGCTTATTCCTATATTTTACGCTACGTATTTCTCTCGATTTTGGAAAGCTACGGCGCCATACGGTTGCCGTAGATCAAACCTGACTGAGGCATAACAACCAACCTGAGAAGGCGCTCTTCAATCCCTATGAGTTTCTGCTCCCATCCGTTTGTGAAACCACCGTCCATGCGCATATGCCTCCATCTGCTTCTCGGTTCATTTGCTTCAGCAACAATTTCAACAAACACAAAAACTAAACAGATATACGTATTCATAGCAGATGTATGTTGATGAAATGTACACATTGTCTTTTACTGGATAACTAACTGTCAGCAACGAAAGTTTCAAAGTCCATGGTTTAATGAGAAACTGATGACGTAATTTGTGTTAGGTTACAATATTTATTTAATGTTTGATTCGGCCTCGAGGAGGATTGTAAGCCATTATTCAAACTCGAAACCCGTTGCCTGAAGTGGAAGGATTTAGCTAAAAAAGATTTATTTAGAGTTATCTGCGGACTAAGTATTTCGTTGGAAGATGGACATTACGAATATTATGCTTAAGCTTCCTTGGCAGTTCTAGTCCTCAAAATACGAGTAATATTATTACCAAATTGGTGTACGCCAGGCAATGGAGTATCGAGTTTAAATAAGGGCTTCCAATCCTCCTTGATTGGACCTGCTTCCAGAAGTTTAGAAAATTGTCAAATGAAAACATGAATAACTAGAGATCGATCGAGACTGCCAGCAATCAAATGGAGGCAGTGATGGCGTTTTTGACCTTTTAACGTCACCAAAGGGTAAAATTGGGAAAATGTCATTTGTAAACTCCTTTCAATTTTACTCAATTTGAATCAATTTTAAGCTGCAAAATGCAATTACTCCTCCTTTTAATCTATTTGGGTATCAGCACTTGACAACGGCCAGTACTGCTGGTGACATAAGAAAGTGTTGCGGATCATTTCAATGGGTTGAAACCAAATGGTCAGAGGTTAACATGAAACGAAACGAATGACGAATTGTGAATTATGTATTTGCGTCACTCATACTATGAATGCCTATAATATCAACAAATGAAGAGATGTTTCTTAAATATTTTTTTTGTATGTCAGAATTTCGCTCTAGTTTTCAAGATTTTACTAATACTGAAAATTAAAAAAGTTATTAAAGAAAAACTGACCATTGAACAATTCTGTCCGGGCTACTATATAAACGTTAATGTACTCCTCGCTATAAAATTTGAGATACTAGATATAGACAAATTCTATCGTGAACAATTTATTGAAAAACTACTCATAAATATTTGAGGCCGAATAAAATGTTAATTGTTTGCAAAAGGTCCAACATTAACTGAACGTTTTGGAAACATGTTATGAATAGGTCGCCCATCGATTGTCTAGAATTCACTATATCGATTGTCTAGAATTTACAATATCGATTGTCTAGAATTCAATATATCGATTGTCTAGGATTCACTCTTTCGATTGTCTAGAATTCACTATATCAATTGGAGCTCTAAAACTATTCGTTTATTCGTTGCTATATACTGCATCGACGGTTTCATCAAACTCATCTGGTATCACATCCACGCAAGAAATCCACATGATATTGGATTGTCGCCCAAGTAGATGTATGATCGTATTGGCGTGTCCTTGGTGAAGTACGATACGTACGCCTTGAATATAACTGGTTCATCCTCAACCGTCCAAGCATGCGCTAACCCACGACCAGGCAAATATGTGCCTTTCCAGTCTCTGGATTCGTAAGTTTTGCTATAATAAATCAATACTAACAATATGTATAAACGAGAAGTGAGCTTGAGTTAAAACGGCAGTGTAGCGATGCAATATCAAACAGTGGAATGTTTTATTTTTTAGTCACATTTTCACAAAACCATGGCCATCGAATACGGTGGCATTGCATTTGATGATTAAAGGATGTTTTCTTCTAACACAAAAGGTGACTTATATTTACACTGGGAGATCAGTCGTTTTTATTAGAGCTTAAAAACATGACAGCGTGGCTTTAATGAACATCCTATGATGCTTTCATGATGATTTTAAATCTTTTCACAAGAATATTACTCAATATAAATGACTATTTTTTCTCACATTCTTGTGTGAGTTTGGAAATATAAATGCGGTTAGAATTAGTACCTTCCATTTATCCATTCGTATTCCCATTCAAGTGTCCCTGTGTTGAAAGCCACCTGTGGGAAGAGAGGTAGTCTCCTGTCCGTTTTACACTGAAAGTTGATATACACCTTCCTTGCGTCCATGAAGCATGTCTGATTACGTGATAAGTATGCCCTGTATAGCAATCCAGTGGAAAAAAGAGTGAAATCTGGAAATCATGTTGAATTTAATCCCTCAAAGCTCCTTCAGTGTGAATAGCTTTTGTTACCACATACATTTTTAATTAAGAACTTAAGCCCTGGAATCAGTGCATTGTTTGCTGGAAAGTTTAGGAATCAATGCCTGAGTGGAATGAAGCAGTTACAATGCATGCCTTGGGCTTAAATTCTATTCGCACATTGCAAAATATTTTCTACAAAATTACCTAAAATATACAAATCACTAAAAACATATTTTCAATGAAACTTTTTGCAAGGGTCAAGTCTTGGCAAAGCATCAATTCTCCTCACTTTGACAACCATACAAAACAAATGCGTCATTGGTGATTTCATGCACTGCTGTCTTGTGAAATACTGTGTTTGGATTGGTTGGAATCGGAAACACCTTACCAATAGCTATGTGTGAATTATATTTATTTTTTAATTACCTTAAATTTCGAGAGACATGAAAATATATTTAGCATTCAAAACACCATCAAATATTACACTTGAAATATAAAATGGAGAATTAAAATAAATAAAGAACATATCCCAAATCAACCCAAAACAATGACCTTACGCCAAAAACTCTAAATAATATTATGCAGGGTGACTCCACCCACTAATGGAATAAATACTCAATAATTTAGCAATTTCTAGGATTTCTTACACGGTGTTATAGCATGACGGTTACGTCAAGGCTATTTGCGAAATGTTGCGGTAACGATAACAAAAAAAGGTGGATGGGAAAGACAGCATGTCCTCTTTCTCGCCTGTAGGCAAGATTCACAGATAAGATTTCATTTTCAACTAGTTCCATTCGGGGACGTATATATGGAAGGTTATAAAGACTGGGTCAAATCTGCCAGGTAGTTTCCTTGAAGCAGAATATAAGCTGCAAACTTACCGACTGAGATATCAAAGTTCATAATTTTAAGTCCATTCTCGTGTTTTCTCAGTATATGTGCCTCAAAGCCACTTAAACTATTAACTGTGAGTAAACTATGTATAAACAAGCCATAAAATGAAAAATGCAGAACAGGAACGTGGTGTATATTGTAAATAATAATATTTCAAACGCAATGTCGTTAGACGACTACGTATGAATTCTATGGACGGTAACGTATTGTATAAGCTGTACATTAGATATTTAGCGGACGGTTACGTGCATGTACACCTTTCAAGTCAAGGTTGCTAGTTCCTATAGCCTCTTTCCATGTCATTGTTCTTATGTGTAAGAAATGGAATATTGAATTGCTTATATTTGTTTTCAGGACTCGCAAGAGACGCTCTTGTTTAAGCCTCTAGAGGGCAAGGAAAAAATTGTGTCTTGCTTTATTTATGAAACCAATGAAAGTCAAAAAGATAGCAATGAAGAGGCAAAAGAAGAATTAGCATCAAGTACTGATGAATATGACTAAATTGATAACAATGGATCAGGGATACATATTTGAACGAGGTTCGCGTAACCGTCCATCAATTTTTGCGTAACCACAAATTCAAAATACATTATTATGGCTTGAATAGAACATATTAGGTGGTTTCCAATGCTCAATTGGCTTTTTATGATCGTATGTAGGTTACATCTATATACCCCAAGGTCGTTAGGCAATGTAGACCATGCACTTAAGACAAAAATAAACAAATTACTAAAGGATGAGTCTGGGAATGAGTCTGGGTATCGACTTAGAAAATATTGAAAATTGTAATGTCTGAAACATCAACTCTCTTCTGAGAGAATATTAAATCAATTATTTATACAAAAAGTTTGAAACATATCCTCCAAAACATTGCTTAATTTCTTTGTATAGACATCGAATGGTATTTCTGGATAAGTGAATTGGTGTTTATCTGGGTAATCAAGGGATTATAGTCACTCAAAGTTACTGAGCATCCAGTTTTGAGACTTCAATTGTGTTGTTGAAGTTAAACATAATTCAGTCAAATTCATGCTGAGCACAACATTTTGGTTTCAATTTTATAATCTCTATACATGACCCTGGTGATGAAGAGTCAGAATCAGTCAAAAAAACTAAACCAGAAAACTGTGCTCATTGTGAAAACTAAAAGTGAAGCAACTTTTTTCTGATATTTCTCACATCAAATGGCAGCCATCTTGTTTTTCCCCCCTTGAAATTAAACTGGCGGGAAATCCAAAAGTTTGAAAAAAATGTAATCTTCAAATATATTTCAAAAATATGATTTTCTTTTTAATTCTTCATGGGTCTTAAGTTATTTCTTCTTTGTATGTCATACAAGTTGCCATTGGTGTTTTTTCTATGATGATGACTTTTTTGTTTTTATTAAGATACTTATTCCGACTCTCGGCAGGGGGTTAATTATGCATCGAATCTTGTGAAAAAGTAAATATACTTATCAAATATAACTAGGACAGTAATAAAAACCATATTTCACATACATTTGACTGAGGGACCAAAAGGGCATATACCCGGACACATCCTTTTGTGTAGTTTTGAATTTCAAACTCAACTGTTTTTCGCTTATTTCGTGTTATCCCCGGGCATCAATTTGCAAAGACTACGTTCAAAATATACATTACGAAATGCATCACCGGATGCGATCCTTACATAAATCGTTCATCCTTTCATTGAGACACAGCAGTAGAAAATAATGCACCAACCTTAGTTTTCTGTTCCATCGCGGCCATTTTATTGGATAAATCAGTGAACGTAGCCGTCCAAACTCGTTTTCAGAGGTGGCGTAACCGTCATGCTATAACACCGTGATTTATGTAACAAATAAAACGTTCTACAATTTTTTCATGGCCTGACTCCGTCGGTAGAACTTGAAATACATGTATAAGATCGAGTAACCTAAAGATTAGCAGTATTATTTACCCTCTAGAGGTTAGAACACGCATTTCAATGACACCATATCAGCAGCTTGGTTTTGTTCATGAACTATTGGTCTGAATGAAATGCTGCGCTGAAAGTATGAATGGGTCGTCTGCTGTATTTGTCCATTAATACAGTAGGACCTGATCGTGATGCTTTATAATTTAGACCACAGTAGAGAAGAATACACGCACGTGAAAATTATAAAATCAACAAACAAACGAACAAATTTTCACATATGTTCGGTACATTTGTAATTTATCGTATTGAAACTTCCGGAACAAGGAAATCATTCATTTTCACGGTCCATATTTTGCCTCTTGGATATTGTGCTAAA